AGTTAATATTATAAGGTGTAGTTGGAGCATCTACCACAAGGGTCTAATAGGGTCATGCCATCCAAAGCTAAAAAGATCAGAAATCGGAGTGGAGTGATTATGAAACGTTCATGCATGGACATTTCTGTCGCTCCACTATATCAAACTGATGTTGTGCTGATGTTAAACACAACAGCAATCTTTCTTTTGCCCTGTTGCTTACATATGCCTCTGTGACCCACCTGCTATTAGATATGACACTTAAATACAAGCATTATGGCATTGCCATGACAGAACATACTGGATATATATATTTTTTTATCATAATTTCATTAATGCCTAAGTGTGAACTGAATGTAATGTTTCTGACACTTAATGACATGTTAATTGTAATTAAATGAATGAACTGTATTATAGTTAAAATTATAGTATATAGTATAGTATAAATTATATTAAATGCAATAATTTGAACTTTAGAGTGCTTTTTCCTTAAGTATGTTTTATATGTAATTTCATAATTACTTCTATTGTCTCTGAAATTTGGTTGAAGTGTACTGACAAATGTACTGACAAGTATTTATAGTAAACTAAAATATACTTTAATGTCATTTCTATTAAACTTGTATGTCAGGCATTTAATTATATTTCAATCATGACAACTCTCAGAACATTTTAGCATGGTGATGGATATGACAATGTTAATGTATTTGGTCTTGGCGGAACAGATCTGCTACGCTGCTGCTGAATTGCTGCTGCTGTTGGTTATTGCTGTAGTTGTAGATTATTGCTGCTGCTGCAAGCAAGTACAGGAACTTGTTACTGCCAATGCATACGGCTATCAGCCTGCGCCATCTAGAGTTTCATGACTGAACTATATATTTGTTATTGCACATTTGTAATCATGAAGTTGAAGTTTAGTACATTTATTAACTTTAAAAGTAATATCGTATAACACTACAGTTAAAATTATCAAGTACTGTACATAAGCTTAGTCAACACATCAATTGTACTTCTTTAAAGCACAACAAAAGATTATTAAAACATGATTTACAATGTACTTTACAGTAAAACTTTAAATTTGACAGTATTACAAAGTGCACTTTTTAAAAGCATACTTAAGTTTGTTAAGCACCACTGTACACTTTATACTGCATTATGTATTATTTAGTATACTTTAAGTGCACTTAAATGGCCTTTTATTTCATTAATATTATATTATCTTTTTTATATACTTTCAAGACTTGAAGTACATTGCAAGTACACATTTAAAACAATTAAGAGTACGTATTTTTCACAAGGGCATAATTTATATCTAAACTATTTCATATTTATCATTTGTGAAATGCAACTCTTTGAGGTATACTGTATGTGTCTCTTTAGATGCACCATTTTTGCAGTGTAAAGACAATGTCAATGTCCAAAAACATGGTAACACTGTGGTACCCTTAGTGTAATAAATCATCCAGCATTCTCCTCTAGCATCCGAATGTCTCTACAATAACAAGCAACACACAGTTCAAATAAACTTGATCCAAACAGACCGCTGAGCTCCCAGTGTGGGAATCTGGGTTCCTCTGATTTCTGCTTACAATGCACAGTACAATGTCTTCTTTATGATATATTGCCTAGGAGAAGGGCCAAGGCTGCCCATTCATTTTATTCCCAACCAAACCATCTGAATGAGACACTAAATATAACTTTCTGTATAGATATAGCTGTTGCGAAGTTCCCAAAGCTGGAGAGAAGAGAACTTGCTTATCTAAGCAGTGGTCTCCTTTGAAAACAATCATCAGTTTAATGCTGTAACTACACCGTGTGTTATGTTCAGTTACGTACATTTTCATCACAACTATAGGGTAAACTATAGATATTGTCCTGTTGAGACTTGTGTTGAAATCTGTATTTCTATGATGAGAATGAGCGGAAAAGTTAAGCCGAACGTCACCTTTAAAATCTGCAAACTATGCAGAAAAGAACATGCCGGGTTTCAAAGTTGCATAAATATTTGCAGTTTAAGCGGATAATCAGAACAGCATTCCAGAATTTTACCTGGACATCCAAATGAAAAAAATTAAATTAAATTAAATTAAATTAAATTAAATTAAATTAAATTTTATTTAAATTTTTAATTAAATGCTGTGATTTATTTTACACTGAAAAAAATGTGTAAAAACTATTTTCACTTTTGCTAATAAATTTCAGAAATAATTACAATCTACAATTAACAAATTAAATTCAGCATGGATTTTTAGAAGGAATTAAATAGTATTTTCTTGCAATTGTACTCCAATAATCTTTTTAACTACAACTTAAAAAATCGATTCAGTACTGATTTTCATTACACTTCCTTTTATATTACTTCCATTACTAACGAAGGCACACATAAAGCATTTTATCTTAGGACCAAACTTAATTCACACTTACTTGCAGCAGATGTTTACATTTAAATTCATTTTACATGAGAAAAAAATGGTGGTGAAACAATTTTCAACCAGAAACTGATACATTGATACAAACTAATACATTTCAGAAATTATATAGAAATAATTTTTAAAAAAGATAAATATATTAAACTAAGCATTAATTTTTGGAGTAGAAAGACTGAAATAGTATTTTAAAACATAATCTAATAATCTTTTCTTTATTTTTAACTTTGAAAAAACTTTTTTGTGTGTTTTTTTACATTGTACAGCATTGAGTAAAAACGATTCTGACTAAAACTGACCAGCAATTGCTTGACTCACCAAGAAAACATTCAGTACAGTGAGTCACAACAATATACAAATGTTATACACTGATGTATTCTCTCTCTCTGTCTATGATGATGAAATGTTACACATAAACCAGGACCGCTTTAAGACACACATGCAGTTTCAGGTTAGAGATATTAAACAAAACCAGAGCTCTGCCTCATTAACTCAGTCTCAGTAGCAGGGATGCAGTGAATAAGCTGATCAGGACAGAGTACGTTTCATAAACTTTGCTGGGATAGCAGCTATTTTCTCCCCCTTTTCGACTTTATGTAATGCATGTAATGTATTCCGCATTATGCAAATGTACGAATGACTAACCTTAATCATCACAGGTATGAACCAGATATAAGAGAGCTACAGACAGCAGACAGAAAAAAAATAAAAATTAATACAAAAAATTAATTAATCGCAGTGCCTCAGATTTCAAAACAATAAAAGACTAAAAGACAAAATCGCATTCAGTCCTAAACTCCACTGAAATGAGAGGGCAGTCCATGAAGGAGTGTGTGCCGTCAGATTTATGAGGATTATGTGGAAGGTGAATGAGATTTAATTTCAGAGTTTGATGGCCTGGCAGATATTCCATAAAGAGTTCCTATAAAATCAGGCACCACATCACTAATGGTCCATTCACTAAGTTAATACTGGGGAGCGTTTGTCCTCATCCCTTCGAGATTGAATTTTGAAGATGCTTTTATATGTTAGAAAAATGAAAGAATATTAATTAATATATTTATTTCTGGAAGGAAAAAAAATATTGATTTATTTGCGAAAAAATTAAAAAATGAAAAGGAGTATATTTTGCAAGAAAATACCATTTGAGTCTTTCTACTTAAAATTGTTTGATTTAATGTGCTATTTGCCATTTCTTTGTGAAATTTACAAGCAATTTCTGAGTGAAGATTTGTATTTATTTTTTTCAGTGTAAACTGCAGATGTCTTCAGTAATTGTGATTTGATCATTCACTACCTCTCTTCATCGCAAGGAATCCTCTGTTTTTCTTGGTAAAAGCCCCTTGTACAGCATTTCGGAGAAACTCTCCCTTTGGAGTTCTTTGGCCACACAATAAAGAAGCATAAAACCATGAATCATCGCATCTCAAGGCGAAAGACAAAAAACACCCACCAGAGGAACAAGACGTACATCTCATCTTAAAAAAAAAAGAAAAAATTCAAATGGATACATTTGTTTGTTATACATATCCATATCACATTTGAAAGCTCGCACTGTAAAACATGAACTTATAAAATAAAGATTAATGAGTATTCAAATTTAAAAAATTCAAAAGCACTTCAAATTCTGTCTACTTCAAAATTACATTTAATTCAATGTGTCACTTACTATTTCTTTGTAATTATGAAATTTACTGGTTTCTACACCTTTTGTGTGTGTGTGTGTGTTTCAAATGCTTAAATTTTGCATTTTTTTTTTTTTAAACTGGTAACACTTTAGTTTAGGGACCATTCTCACTATTAAAGTTACTTAGTAGCATGCATATTACTAGCATATTGGCTGTTTAGTAATAGTTATAAAGCACATATTAATGTCTTTTTCTGTGGACCTTAATCCACCCAATACCTAAACTTAACAACTACCTTACTAACCATTAATATACAGCAAATTAGGAGTTTATTGAGGCAAAAGTCAGTGAAAATCATTCCCCAAGCTGAAGTGTGACCTATTAACTGAATACATTTGCTTAAAAATAATATTATCAGCATAATAAACTGAGTAAAAAAAAATATTTTAAAACTTGATAAGATCATGTCTTTATAATTTGGTAATAATTGAACAGCAGCAGCACTCGAGCTGCATGAGCTCCACAAGTGTGAGTAAAACCTGATGATCATGTTCTCCAGCATGATTTGCGACTGATCTAAAAAACATCATCAGTACTTCTTATTCATCATAGCATTTCTATGTTTTGCATATTTCAAATCCATAAAACTCTCTTAATTTCCAGGTTTAAGCACTATTTTCAATCCCTAGACTTCTGGACTCCGCTTTACAGTATATCTATATGTTTAATTAAACAAGTACAAAGAGCATGCGATGCACAATGTAATATCCTCTACTGTAGTCTTTGCAGCATCTCTGACTCACTGTCACATAATGAAAGTGCTCTTTACTGCCTACCGGTCCTTCTTCTCCTTTGTTTGGTTTGCAGAGAAAATATCACCATCAAAGCGCCCATCTTGACCTCTCGCCCTCAATCTCAGCGGTTCGCAAGCAGTTTCAGAGTCCTCCTGGAACAACTGTGGCTCTCCTCAAGTCTAGCTTTATTCTTCACTTGCAGACATGAAGATCTCAAGGATGTCTCCAGCCGTCTCACCAGTTTTGATTCTGATCTCAACCAGTGCCTCCAAGCTGCTCCACTTTGGCACAGTTGAAGAGCAGTTTGATTAAGCTCCCTGCGTTCTCGCTGTACGCTCGACTGCCGTGCCCCCACTCTTTCAACAGATACTTCTTCGCAAGAAAAGAGGAAGAGGCGGGAGAGAGCAGCGAGAGGAGGAGGAGGGGAAAAGGGCACAGTGTGAAGTGAGCACTGTTGCTGCCCGAGGACGGCCGAGCGGCGTTTGTCGACTCTGACTTCTGTTCGCTGGCTGCTTTTAATTCAAGTGCACCAATCACGCTGAAGCCGGCGCTCATTAAAACGATCGAGATTAATGCATAATAATACATCTACTTCAAACCGGCAGTTCTCAACGGTGCACACCCTTCATTTAAACCGATATTTCTCCTGTGAGAAATGCAAAAAAGGCTCTTGTGTGGTGACTAGAAAACTGGTGGGCTGCTGCAAAACTAAAGTGACTTCTCTGGAAAAACATATTAATCGTGTTTTTTGGAGATTGCAGTATGTAAACAATAATTTTATCTTAATCAGACGGGCGTACTGGCGTGGTAATTGCTATCCTGCAATCGCAAGAGGTGTAATTTAAGAGCGGTGTGCATCTGAGAGTCCACTTAATCATGAATCCGGGAGGAGGCAGTGACACATGGGGTTTTCTCAGAAAGTATCACCGTGTGAAGTTAACGCTGACTTCCATGGAAACTCAAACTGGGGGCTGGAGGATGGAAAGAAAGGCTCTTGCATTATGAGACGCATGGGAATATATTTTTTCCACTGGCAAGTCTCTCTTCTTTAAGCTACTGATTAGCAAAAGCAGGCAGAAATAATTGCCCATGAATGTGTGGGTGTGCAAATTGCAAACGAAAAGAGCCTTCGCTTTGAGAAACGGTTCAAGCTGTTTCCTACTCATTCTTGCAGTTGACAGATGACAGCTAATTTCTGACAAAAGGAAATGTGCTAAGTACATTTGAATCGCTCAAACATTACTCATTTCCTTTTCTGTAAAGTACTTTGACATTTCATATCCGCTGGGATATGTTTTTTTGGTGCTTCTCAACTGGTTTTGCTTTAGGATGCTGATTTATGAATGAGATTTTTACATTGGACATCAAGTGGTGACCACACCAGTACAAAAAATGGTTCCGTTTATTTTTATTTTATTTTTTAAGTATACACATAAAAAAAAAAAGGTTATTAAGATTATTATGGTTATTATGCATATCGTAAAAAATAAATAAATAAATAAATACAGAAACAAAAATAAATAAGCAAAAATAAACTAATAAAAATGTATTATGTATATTGTAAAAAATATATAAAT